GAGGGTTGGAAGCGGCTGGATTGCTTAGGAAGCGGCCGGTCGTCCTGTTCTATCACGGCCAACCGGGAGCGAAGAGGCTGCAGTTTTAAGAGTCTTGGAAGTATAAGTTATGCCGCAGATTTAATTGGTTTCGGTGGCGTTGAGTGCGAAACATTTTTCCAGATGCACGTGGGGTTATTGGGACTGAGTAGAGGGGAAAGAGACCTGCTCCCAATCCTCTGTAAAACGGGTTAATTTAAGCGGGTGCCTTCCCTTGGTTGTCTTTTATATCTGATTATTATTTTCATCATGTGCTTAGCGACTACGTTGTTGAGGCCTATGTTTTAAACCTCTCTGTGTCGTTCCCTCTGATATCTGGTGCCTAGATCGCATGCCAGGCATAAGCACGTGTTGCTTCATTCAAAAGGCATTGGGGGGAGGGGTGAATAAACTTCCTAAACAGAGAGTTCATGCTCAGATTATGGAACCTGTGTCTGGTTTGCTACATGCAGTATATTAAGTATGCCTGCATGCCTTTTCAACTGTGCCTCTTGTTGTAGCTGTCCCAGCGAAGACTGAGGCAAAATCCAAAGCCCTGAAGGCTAAAAAGGCGGTCTTGAAAGGTGTCCATAGTCACACCAAGAAAAAAATTCGGACGTCACCCACCTTCCGGAGGCCCAAAACCTTGCGGTTACGGAGGCAGCCCAAGTATCCGCGGAAGAGTGCACCGAGAAGGAACAAGTACGTTGGGCCTGAAAGCTGGGCATGATCCATCTAGTAGTGGCGAGAGAATGGGCTCTGTTGAGCTGCAGAGGCTAGCCATCATCTGGTACTCATAACTGTGCTGCTTCTGAACATGAGGGGCTTAGACCTTTGTGTTGTGACTGATGGCCAGTGACAAGCTCTTCATCTGTCAAAATCTTTTTTTATTGAGTCCCTGAATTGGAAGCCGCTGAGAAGCTGGTTTCCCCTGAGTTTCTGTAATCATGCTTTAAAGTAGTTTTGTCAGTACCATGTCTTGTGGCAGTGAGTCCCATAGACAGATTTTTTTTTTGTCATCAAATCACAGCTAACTCATTGTGACCTGAAAGGTTTTCAATGAAAGAGACATTTAGAGGTGGTTTGGCATTGCCTACCTCCGCGTCATGACCCTTATATTCCTGGACTATCCAGGTTAGAGCATACGCAAATTTGAGTTACTGAGACAGTGGAACAGTTTAGCTAATTGAGATTAACAGTTAAAGAGCATTTTGGTAATCAAATAATTATTTTTCATAAAAGTATTGACTGAAAGGGCTTTTGGTAAGTGTGCATAGAACTGAGTGGCTGCCCTTGTGATAACATTTTATATATAATGAGCAGCTCATTAAAAAAAAACAACAACACACAAGTATATTGCTACAAGATATCTTTATTTAATTTATTGACTTAATTTCTAGCCCACCCTCCCCTGCACAGGAAGGCTCAGGGCAGGTTACCCCAAAAAAGAGGGGGGGGAATCTAAACCAACACAGCACAAACCTCCTAAAGAAGTTTAGGACCAATAGAGGACCAATAGTTAAAAACATAAGTGTACAAAGTAGTGTTTATTACAAAGACATATAGAAACCTAGTAGGGGGCCCAAATGAAGCCTCATAAAATGTACAGAGTTACAAATACACACAAAAGAGAACAGAGTGTGACCTGACTTGTTTTGGCTCATAAGAGCCTTCTTCAGAGGTCAAATAGTGCAAAATATAACAAGCAAGAGAGTCCCTGTAACACATGTAAGGCAATTAACAATTAAACAAATAAATAAAATAGGACCAAAATTGGAATGTTCCAATATGGAATTGAATGACACACCAAAAAGTTTCTATTTGGGGCCACAAATAAATCTGGTCTTGTGTCAGAAGTTGTTGTATGAACTGGAGATATTATGTACCTTCCAGTTTAGGTCCTAAGAGTGCAAATAAAATTGCCTTGTCAGAGACAGTGTGCCATATTACAACTTTTGGCCCTCTATTACGTTTCTAAACTTCCTTAGGAGGACAGGCCAGGTTACAACAATTCCTATAAACAGTAAAACACAATAAAAACAATTAGCCATACATTACAATCAATCGATAGCCAATGTAAATCACTTAGGCCTAAAAAATTAGATGGCAATTGTAGTACAAGTAACTACTATTCCCAGAACTCCACATGTGTGTGCCCGTAGATGATAACATACTAAGCCAAGTGGGTGGGCGAGAAGAAAACAGAAGGCAGTAGAGCAGGGGAGGCCAATACAGGTGGAATTCCACCTCCTTAACTGTGTGGTCCTTTTTAATCCTTAATGAGGATGTGGGGCTTCTCCCCTTCTCCTCCCCCCGAATAGTTTAGCTCTATATGTTGTCGAAGGCTTTCACGGCCCCAATTCATTAGTTACTGTAGATTTTCCGGGCTGTATGGCCATGGTCTTGGCATTGTAGTACCTGACATTTTGCCAACAGCCGTGACTGGCATCCTTAGAGGTATGATACAGCAAGATGGAGTACTCTCTGTGTCAATGTGAGAAGAAAAATGGTAGGCAGATAATTTATATCTAAGGAGGGTGGGGTAGGGCTGTGTCATTCTCTTGTAGGAGTTTCCCAGGCTGTGACATGCTAATGGAGGAACTTTCCTGAGGAGGTTCTTTTGCTGTTGATTGGCTGTTGAGATTCTAATCTTATCTGTAGTGCTGTTGTAAGATGTAGAGTTTAGTTCTACACAGTAAATATTCTGGTCCAAGTACAGGACCAGAGGTGCACGTGATGATTCTCTAGCGACCAAAGCCTGATTGCTTGTGATTATAGCTTATTAGATACTGATGCACCTGGATCTGTGCGCAGAGATGGACAAGAGTTGACTTACTCAACCAGTAATAGCCTTAACTGTTGTGAGTAAACACAGGTTTTTTTTCCTGTACTGGACCGCAGGCTCGACCACTATGCCATCATTAAGTTCCCACTGACTACAGAATCAGCCATGAAAAAGATCGAGGACAACAACACGCTGGTCTTCATTGTGGATGTGAAAGCAAATAAGCACCAAATCAAGCAGGCAGTCAAGAAATTGTATGACATTGACGTGGCCAAGGTCAACACATTGATTCGGTGAGTAACGGTGGAGTGTGCGCGGGGTGGGAGTGCTCTGTGCAGATGATGGAAACACTTTCGAACTGAACCATGTGATGCTTTCAAAGGAACCACTGATGCACAGAGATCTCTCCAGAGATGGTGATGAGAAGATAAATGATTTCCAACGTATTAGATACTGCCTTGTTAATTAAATCGACATACGATTGCCTGTGTTTTGAACCTGGAATGCATTGTGTATAATTTAGTGCACACAATAGTTTGGTATACTTAAAGATAAACGGTAAAGGTTTCCCTTGCTCGAATGCTAGTCAAATCTGACTCTAGGGTGCGGTGCTCATTTCCATTTCCAAGCCGAAGAGCCAGCATTGTCCGAAGATATTTCTGTGGTCATGTGGCCAGCATGACTAAATGGCGAGGCACATGGAACACTGTTACCTTCCCATCGAAGTAGGACCTATTTATCTACTTGCCATTTCTTGCTTTCAAACTACTAGCTTGGCAGGAGCTGGGGCTGGAGATGGGAGCTCACTCCGTCACGAGGCACTCGGGTCTTGAACTGCTGAACTACAGACCTTCTGGTCTGCAGCTTATATACTTAGTACACTTGTTTTTAGTTCAAATAAGAATTTAGAAATGTCCTGAGGTGAAGCCACTTAATTTTTTAAGGTACCATATTTTCTTGCCTATTTGGCAACAGAAAACTTTCTGGATATTTCTTTGCACATTCACACTTTTTAAAAGTGGGAATGATGTGATAATGAGCTACTCCAAAAGCTAACACTACTTGTCCCATTCTAGGCCTGATGGTGAGAAAAAAGCTTATGTCCGTCTTGCTCCAGATTATGATGCGCTAGATGTTGCCAACAAGGTAAGGAGGATGACTTTCAACCTTTTTCTTCTTCACTGCGGCTTCTATTGTGGCCTTGTTTCTCCGTAAGGGTAGAAATGACACCTGGCAGTTGTGTTTGAAATTGCATGGCTGGTCCTGCAGGCCAGCCTTTCTAGACCTATGCTCATGAACAATATTTATTTATTTATTTTATAAATTCAATTTGTAGCAGACAGCCTGGCCTCCTTGGGGCCTGGCATCGTCAGGAGATGTTGCGTTCCTGACCATAGTGCCCGCAGGGGAACATATAGGGAAAGGCGGTCCCTTAGGTATGTTGGACCCCGGCCATATATTAATAGACAACATTTTATAAACTTCCATAAATTCTATAAAATCCCATGATACTATGGAAATTAGTTTTAGAATTTTAAAATGTGTATACATAAAACTACCTATAGCATTTCAAAGCCACTTTAAAAATAGCACTATCGATAGATATTTTGCCACCAAGCGAGTCGTTTCAGGGTCCTCATCTGCTAGCAGTATGGTTGTCACCCAAGGTTCCATAAGGAGGTGATGTCTATGTAAAACAGGAGTAATCCAACAGGATCTGGGGCCAATCCACTGGTGGCAAAATAACATAAGATGATCTAAGGTCTTTATTGCACCTGATCCACAATCAATTTGAATACTGTTTTTTAGCAAAACGGCCAATTAGCTCTGCAGTTGGAAAAACATTCAACCTAGCAAGTGTGAAGGCATATCTAAGTCTAGGGGATGTAAGGAAGCTCATATATGAGGGAATTTTCTTAGGTGGCACAACCCCTAAGGTAGAGTTGGAGCATACTCGCCTAGCACAAATTGAAGTGCTGAGTCGGTCAATGTTAGTCACCCTCAATCTAATAAAATTTAGTGCTTCTTGATAGTTTATATTGTTAAGCATTGTAGAGGCAAGACCAATCCTCTCCAGCTTGTTATCTATATGTTTTGCCCACGTACGTTTATAATTATCCTCCTTTAAAAAATAGATCCCCTTGGGCATTAGGTGTCATTAGGTGTCATATAAAGAACTTTCAATCTCAATTTAAAGATGGCCTTCCAGGCTCTCGACTCAAAGGAACATTGTGCAGATTCTTCTCTTAAGTGCGACACATTTAGGGACTCCTGCAGTTCTACGCAGGAACTGGAGAAGGATCTGATCTGATGATTCAGAAATTTCTTTAATCCAGATAGCAGCCCCATATAAAAATTGGGAAGTAATTTTCACATTAAAAGCTGCAGTGGCCATCGGAACATACTGGCCGCCTCTTGAATAGTAGAAGCTAAGGAGGGCATTAGAATTTGCTTTGGCAATTTCAGTTGCTGCTCTCATATGATGTTTCCAATGGCGGTTGCAGCTAAACACTATACCCAAATATTTGAAATGAGACACTTGTTCTATCTCCCCACCCTTAACATCATCTGCATAAAGTAGTATAGGTACTTCATGTCCCTCTGGACCTGTGCCTAGATCCTCTAATGCAACATGGAACCCACCTCTACTTTTACACCATGTATGCCTGTCCTCTTTAGGGTGACCAGGAGGGCAATGCTCCTTTATAAAAGGTGAATTTTGGCAGGTACAGTTTGCCATTCGTCTTTCAAAATATTTCCTTTTACACAGCTGTTCCCTTGGTTGTCTTTTATGTTTTATTCTTCAATTTTTCTGTCCTTTTTTAAAAAGACCCCCTCCCCAACCCAAACTTGCAGTTGTGCCTCTGGTATGAGCCATAATCCATCAGTACCACAGAGTACGTGTGAGAACAAAGTCAGATTTTATAAGCTCCATGAGATGCAGTCTTTGGAGCTTATTGCTAGCCATGGAGGCCGCGTACTAGTGGGTTCATGCCTTGAGGGGCTTGCTTCCTTAAGAGATGTCTGAGGTACAGCCTTTTCTGCTGGAACATGGAGAGGGCTTTCTACCTGAGTGTTTGTAGAGGCTTGAGTCTTTGAGGGTGGTGGGTCATACAACTCATACAGTTCTTTTTTTGTTTCTTTTCAGATTGGGATCATCTAAGCAGAGTATTGTCAGAGCTGTACAATAGAATTGCACAATAAACAGATATTACTACCACGCTGACTCCAGATGTGTTTTCAAACCAAAAAAATTGCGCTGGGGGCGGGGTTAAGCAGAGATGGGCAACTTGAACAACTGCTGTAATCACCTGTACCTTGGGACCTGGAAGGATATTTTGCCCCATGGATTACCTTTGTCCCTCAAATTCTCATACTGGTGATGCCCTCTAGCAACAAAGGGGGGTCACAATTAGAGCATGTAAGTATAGCTGGGCCTTTGCATACAACACGCAAAACCGATGGTCGTCTTGATTAATACTTGTTATTGTCAATAGGGCTTGGGTCAAATTAGGATTGAGTTAAGAGGGCCGGGAGGGGATGTGCAGTTTATAAAAGTGTGCATGCGCCACATCAGTGCTGCTGTAGGGGCCTGCTGGCTTGGAGTGAGGGCGATCTTAGTGACTGGCATCATGGATATTCTCAATGTAGGAAGGGTTTGCCTTCTCAGGCTGTGCAGGTTCACCTGAGATTGGCTATAGATCACCATGACACTGTATTCCTTTGATCTTGATTACCTTGGTAACGAAGGTGGGGGGAAAGGCCTACTTAGCGATAGCAGAAGTGGGAGCCACGGCTGCAGACCCATATGAACAATGCAGATTGGGCGGTGACAAGGGCCACTTACGCACTGTCACTTTTGTCGCTCGTTTTCCCCTCTTGCTTTGGGTGTCCCCCCCCCCCTTTCCACATGTGTTTTGCTCCCTCTGGGACTACTAGAGAAAGAAAAACACATTTTTTGGGGGGGGAGACGGGGACTACCCTGAAGCAATTGGGACAAATGAGTGACAAAAATGACAGTGCTGAAGAGGCCAGGGTGGGACTGTTGGTGCTTTTTGTGCTGGAAGTTGAAACACGAGAGATGTAAAAATTCTAGAAATTCTTCAAGGCATTGGCATAAAGCCTTTTCTTTGATAGAAATTGAAACGTGGCCAATTGTTGTTCAGTCGCACAGTCGAGTCCGACTCTTCGCTACCCCATGGACCAGCTCCCGTCAGGCCCTCCTGTCTTCCGCCGTCCTCTGACGTTTGCTCAATTTCATGTTCGTTGCATCTATGACACTGTCTAACCATCTCATCCTTTGGCGTCCCCATCTTCTTTGACCTTCAATCTTTCCCAGCATCAGGGTCTTCTCCAGTGAGTGCTCCCTTCTCATTGGGTGGCCAAAGTCTTTGAGCTTCAGTTTCATTATCTGGCCTTCCAGGGAACAGTCAGGGTTGATTTCTTTTAGGATTGACTGATTTGTTCTTCTTGCAGTCCAAGGGACTCTCAAGAGTCTTCTCCAGCACCATAGTTCAAAAGAATCTATTCTTCGGCGCTCGGCCTTCCTTATATTCCAACTCTCGCAGCCTTACATGACTACTGGGAATACCATTGCTTTGACTATGCAGACTTTTGTTGGCAGGGTGATGTCTCTACTTTTTATCATGCTGTTTAGGTTCGCCATCGCTTTCCTCCCAAGGAGCAGGTGTCTTTTAATTTCATGGCTGCTGTCACAGTCTGCGGTGATCTGGGATCCCAGGATCGTGAAGTCTGTCACTACTTCCACGACTTCCCCTTCTATTTGCCAAGGAGTGATGGGGCCGGATGCCATGATCTTAGTTTTTTTGATGTTGAGCTTCAAGCCCACTTTTGCGCTCTCCTCTTTTATCCTGAGCAAGAGGCTCTTTAGGTCCTCTTCACTTTCTGCCATTAGAGTGGTATCATCTGCATATCTGAGGTTGTTGATCTTTTCCCCAGCAATCTTAATTCCCGCTTGTGATTCATCCAGGCCAGCATTTCGCATGATGTACTCTGCATATATATTAAATAAGCAAGGTGACAATATACATCCTTGTCGTACTCCTTTTCCTATGCTGAACCAATCAGTTGTTCCATATCCGGTTCTAACTGTCGCTTCTTGGCCCTTATACAGGTTTCTCAAGAGACATGTGAGGTGGTCTGGTACTCCCATCTGGGCAATATTTACCTATAAATCCTCAGCTTATTGCTCTAGCAGCATAAGATGCATCATTTATAACTTAGAATATAAAACTATACTAGTTGGCCTGCTTAAGAAATTTAAAAATGCAAATGCCTTTGTTCAAGTAAGATTTAATATAGCCAGCAAGCCCAGGCTAGCCCCGTCTCTCAGATCTCAGAAGTTAAGCAGGGGCGACCCCGGCTGGTATTTGGATGGGAGACCTGCAGGGAATTCCAGGGGTGTGACACGGAGGCAGGCAATGCAAACCACCTCTGAACGTCTCTTGCCTTGAAAACCCTTCGGGGTCGCCATAATTCAGCTGTGACTTGACAGCAGAAAAAAAGTGAAGAGCACTAGCATAAAGTCGCTAGAACGTTGGACTAGAATCTGGGAGTCTTGGGTTTGAATCCTAACTGCCATGAAGGCTCACTAGGTGACCTTGCAACAGTCACTTTCAAGCTAGCCTACTGTGCAGAGTTATTTTGTGTGTGTGTGTGCCTGGAAGTCAGAGTTGACTTCTGGTGACCCCTAGTGGGGCTAGGACGTTTCAGAGAGGTGCCTTACTGTTGCCTGCCTCTGTTTCCCAGCCCTGGTATTCCTTGGAGTTCTCCCAAGTACTTGCCAGGGTTGGCCCTGCTTCTTAGCTTCCGAGATCTGACAAGAACCTACTTCGCAGGGTTGTTAGGATAAAATGGAGGGTGGAGTTAGCTGCTTTGGGTGCCCATTGTAGAGAGAAGCGGGAAATATTTACCTAAATAAGTGCTGCACCCTGTTTTACCTTAGCCACTGTTTTATTTAATGTGAGGTAGGAAAATTTAAAAATAAAAAACAATTTTTAGGTAAGCAAGAGTTATCTTGGACAGAAAGTCTTGTACGGCAACAAATAACAGTAGAGTTAGAAGATATTTGAATCTCAGGTTTAGAATGTTAGGTTCATCCACATTATAGCATGTTAATGATACATTTAAACAAATATCCTTGAAAATATGCTGTGCCTGCCTACAGTATACTTGCAGTTATCCTTGGCTGATGCTATAGGTTCTTACATAATCTTTACGCTACATATTTGAGTGAATAAAACCATGTTTTTAAAGGGATTTCACAAATTCCAAAAGATAATATTTCGTGACTTTTTCCTCTTCCTCTCCCAAACGTAACAGTTTTTCCTTTGGGAAAAAAGGGCATCCTTGGGGAAAATAAATGTCTATGGTCACCCCTACCCCAGGCCTTCGCCGTGTCTTATAAACAGGTTTAAGTCAATTGCTTCAGAGGCCGGATCACTTAAGAGCAGGAAGCTCACCCTTCTTGCCATGGAAACAAACAACAGGCATTGTGAGTGTTTCAATAAATGCCTCAGCTTTGTGTCTTTGCATAGCCAATGAGACACTGATCACTTGGAAGAGATAGCTGTGCTGTGCTGGCCCATTGCAAAATCCAAAAATGAAAGGCCAAAGTAGCACAGCATAGTGCATACTCCAGCTCTTCAGGCCTCTTTGTGGTTTGGATAGACTCCATTGGGTGCTGCGTGTGGCTAATACCAGGCTGAACCCATGCAAGAAGCAATGAAAAATGGGTGCCATCCAACTGATAGCACTGAGTTGATCAAGAATTTGCCAGTGGCCAGGTTGATGAAGCGTTCTGAGCACTTGAAATCTTACTGTGCTGTTACTGTGTCTCGTATGGCTTTCATTTTTGGATCTTGTTACGGCTCAGGGTGGCTGCCTATACCTTGTGTATTTGGGGAATGCCTGAATTTAGCCAACCAAGGAAAGCATTCTTCAAGGGAAGACACAGCTAGGCAATACTAGCTAATTTGGTTTACATGGATGCTTTACTTTGTGCATCTATTACAATTAATCTCCAGAGTGGTTAATGAGGACCACTTTTTTAAAAAAAATGTATTTTATTTTTTATTTATAGTCCACCTTTCTCACTTGGATTTAAGGCACATTACAGAGTGAGTCAATATAATCGATGGACGGGACATTCAGTAAACAACGTAATAAGGGTATGGTTGTAGGGCCAACCGGAAGTCTAAAAACGGAACTGAAACACAGCATAAGCATTAACATGACACATTAAGTGATGTAAAAATTCCATAGCAGAATCTCTAGTTTCCACAACCTGTACACAGTAGTCTAGACCACAGTCCCTAATTATTTTTCCAAGTAGCTCTGTGAATCATTCACTAGAGTGCAACTCTGATATTGCTTCTGTAGAAAAGCCCTCTTGAATAGTTCAACTTTGCACAGTTGGTGGAAAGCCGGGAGAGTGGAAGGCTTCCTGACTCCCTCAGGCAGGCCGCTCCATAAGGTGGGGGCACAACGGAAAAGGCCCATGTACAGGCAGTTGTTCATTTTGCCCGTTTGTAGGTTGGCAAAACCCTGCTCTCAGTGTGATTTTTATTCTACCCTTCTTCCAAGGTGCTCAAGGTGGCGTACAGAGTTCTTCTCTTTTTTTGTTTTATGCTCGCAGCAACCCCATGGCGCAGGTTAGTCTGAGAGTGAGTAACTGGCCCAAGATCACTTGGTGATCATCGTAGCAGAATGGGGAATTTGAACCTGGGTCTCCCGTTGAACTATTATACCACGCTGAAGGAGAGATTGGCTTTATACCCTGCCCTTCACTACCCGAAGGTGTCTCAGAGCGGCTTACAATCCCTTCCCCTCCCCACAGCAGACACCCTGTGAGGTAGTTGGGGCTGAGAGAGCTCTCCCGAGAACTGCCCTTGAGAGAACAGTTCTGAGAGAACCATGGCTTGTCCAAGGACACGCCAGCAGCTGCATGTGGAGGAGCAGGAAATCAAACCCAGTTCTCCCAGATTAGAGTCCGCGCTCCTAACCACTATAGCCATATCCTGTTGGAGTCGAGCGTTCTAACCCGGTTGCAGGAAGAGGTCTAAAAGATGTTATACTGTTGATCCTCACCCCTTTTAACAGCCAGCCTGATTAAGAATTCTGGAGAGCTTGAAGGCAATTCTGATCCTAATAAAAGTTATTATGGGGCTCTTGTGCATGCATTGATCTATGAAGAAATTG